CAGAGAGAGAGGGAGACACAGAATCGGAAACAGGCTCCAGGCTCCGAGCCACCAGCCCAGAGCCTGACGCGGGGCTCGAACTCCCGGACCGTGAGATCGTGACCTGGCTGAAGTCGGACGCTTAACCGACTGCGCCACCCAGGCGCCCCAAGCGTCCGACTCTTGATAGTGGCTCAGGTCGTGATCTTCCAGTTGTGAGATAGAGCCCTGCGTGGGGCTCCACACTAAGCTGTCTCTCTCTGCCCCTTCCCCACTCACGTGCGTGCGCTCTCTCTCAAAATAAATAAATAAACTTTTTTTTAAAAAGGTGTAGGGTTCAGTAGAAAGGAAAAGATAGAAGATGCAAAAGAGGAGGTAGTTTATGAAGGAATATAACAGATTCCAATATATAGGTGAAGGAATTAACCTTGGAAGTAGTCGCTACTTCTGGCCAAGATCCAAGGGAAGGGGGAAGTGGGAGTAATGACAGAAAATTTAATATAGAGAAGAAGTTAAGGCAGTTCTCCTAGAATAAACTTAAATTATTTCAGTAATTTGCCCTTTTTTCCAGACATATAACAATAAGGTAATATCCCTGAATTCACAGACTCACAGTATGCAGGGGAAGACAAACTCTGAAATAATCAGGTTGAAGTTTAGTGTTTAACAAAAGGTGAAAGGTTTGGAGCAGTTTCTGTGGGGAATGTTTTCAGGAGCAGAAATCATTGAAGTGAGTCGTAAGTAATGATGACAATCACTTACTAGTTGGGAGCATTAACTTGGAGGTGGACTAAACTTTATGGGGCAAGGCTTGGCAGTTTTGGAATAGTTGTGTACAAGGTCTCAGGGTAGGAGGTGAGTCATTTGGGCAAGGGCAAGGTGAAAAGACAAGAGTCACTAGTGCCATCACTGACTGCTGTGACTACTTCAAGTGATCATGATAATAGCTCTCACTTATTGTTGGCCTAATATTTGCCAAATGACTTTACGTGGATCATCAGATTTAAGCCTCATAACCACCCTGAAAGGAAGATTACCAGAAAGTAGAATGCGTTTCAGAAATGTTGCTTGCCCAGTGTTTCCACGTGGTTGTGCACATCAGGGGGCCAGGGGGAGGGGAGTGCCATTCACATTGCACGTGTCAGATAATAGTAAAGTGTCTTAGTGAAAGGCATTCTTTGAATTCATATAAATACACCATATAGCCATACTGTGACAGCAGTACATAAAATTTTCCAAGTAACAGTCCCAGCTTCGTGTAAAAACACACATGGAGGAGGGTGTAAGCTTAAAGGAAATATGCCAAAATATTAGCAGTCTGGGTAATTAAGTCACGGGGAATTTTTATTTTTGTTTGGATACTCTTCGATTTCTCTGGCTTCTTTAAATGAACATGTTTTTTTTATTTTGGGTGGGAAGGGTAGGTTATTGATGGAAAGGTAGTAGTAAGGAAAATTGTTCTAGACACGTTAGTAAGCAGTAGTGGCATCCCACCTTTATCTTCTCCCCTACCCCATTCCAGAAAAATCCATAAGATTCGGAAAATTCCGTATCCGTTTTACATTGAAGTTACATTTAAGCTTTAGAAATCCAGATATTCCATTTACGAACGTATTTGGAAACCTTAACTCCTTTCCGCCCTTACATGATCACTGCAGCCAACTCCATTCATAGTTATACTAGAACTTCACCTTGTACCATTATCAGCGAGTGGTTTGTATGACTGGAGTAGTCGCATAAATAGAAAATAGACTGAGGGGAAAGGTAGTAGATAAGAGGGAAATAATAGACTCTGTGCTGGGCAGGGAAAGTGATGAACACTTGAAACTCCCTGTAATCTTAAAACTGTATATATACACAGTTTTATATAGTTAGTAATTTAAGTTGGTTTCAAGAAGCACTAACTTTATCCCTTTTGCTGGTTACTGGTAAATTCATCAATTTTGTGTATTGTAAAAATTTAATGTACTACAGAATGGTTTCAGTACAGGTATCATTTTGACTAGTGACTAGTAACAGTACATTTGGATTTGGGTGTATGTGTGTGTGCACATGTGCTTGCACAAACACCTTTACTTTTCCATTAATAATTTATAATATTTAGGTAAAATCTTAAAAACACAATAAGAAATGCCTCCTGGTGACAATCATTAGATCTCCAGTCATATTGTGAGTACTAAAAATTAAAAGAACTTCCAAAAGTGAAAATGTACTTATTAACTTTAGTTTCAAAATAAGCTCTTCTTTTTTGTTATATCCCATGGCTAATTTTATAACTAGAAGTTTGTATCTTTTGTTCCCTTCACCCATTTTGCCCACCCATCATCCCTCACCCCTGACAACCACCAGTCTATTCTCCTTGTCTATGAGCTTAGTTGGGTTTTTTTAAGATACCATGTATAAGTGAGATCATACAGTATTTGGCTGTCTCTGACTTATTTCACTTTATCTAATACCCTCTAGGTCCATCCATGTTGTCGCAGATGGCAAGATTTTGTTCTTTTTCATGGCAGAGTAATATTTCATTGCATACATGTACACCACCACCTTTTTTATCCATTCATCTGTCAGTGGACACTTAGGTTGCTTCCATGTCTTGGCTTTTATAAATAATACTGCAATGAATATAGGGATGTGTATATCTTTTCTAATTAGTGTTTTCATTTTCTTCAGATAAATACCCAGAAGTAGGACTACTGGATCATATGGTCGTTATATTTTTAATTTGTTGAGGAACCTTCATACTGTTTTCCATAATGGCTGCACCATTTTGCATTCCTACCAACAGTGCATGAACATTCCCTTTTCTCTGCACCATCACCAACACTTGTCAGTGTTTTGTATTTTTTTTTTCTTACCTTATACTAGACATTCTGACAGGCCTGTGAGGTGAAATCTCATTGTGGTTTTGATTTGCACTTCCATAACAATTAGTGGTGTTGAGCCCCTTTTGTGTACCTGTTGGCCATCCATTTATCTTCTCTGGAAAAATATTTATTCAGATCCTCTACCAGTTTTTTTTAATTATTATTTGAGAGAGAGAGAGAGAGAGCGCACCCGCCAAGCAGGGAAAGAGCAGAGGGAGAGAGAGAATGAATCTTAAGTAGGCTCCAAGCTCAGCACAGAGCCCGACGCAGGGCTCAATCCATGACCCTGGGATCATTGACCTGAGCTGAAATCAGGAGTCAGACACTCAGCCACCTGAGCCGCCCAGGTGCCCCAAGATCCTATACCAGTTTTTAATTGGGTTATTTTTCACTATTGAGTTGCATGAGTTCTTCATATATTTTAGATATTAATCCCCTATTAGATATATGATTTGCACATACTTTCTCCCATTAAATAAGTTGCCTTTCCTTTGTTGTGCAGAAGCTTTTAGTTTGATGTAGTCCTACTTACTAAGTTTTGCTTTTTGTTGCCTTTGCTGTCAGTATCAAATCCAAAAAAATCATTGCCAAGACTGATACCAAAGAGCTTACCACCTATGTTTTCTCCTAGGAGTTTTATAGTTTCAGGTCTTACATTCAAGTCTTTGATCCATTTTGAGTTAATTTTTGTGTGTGGTGTAAGATAGTGGTTCAGTTTCATTCTTTTGCATGTGGCTGTCCAGTTTTCCGAAAACCATTTATTGAAGAGACGATCCTTTCCCCCATTGTATATTCTTGGCTCCTTTGTCATAAATTAATCAGCCGTATATGTATGGGTTTACTTCTGGTCTCTTTATTTTGTTCCATTGATCTGTGTGTCTGTTTTTATGCCAATACCATACTGTTTTCATTACTGTAGCTTTATAATACAGTTTTAAGTCAGAGAGTGTGATGCCTCCAGTTTTGTTGTTCTTTCTCAAGATTCTTTAGCTATTCTGAATCTTTTGTGTTTCCATATAAATTTTAAGATTGTTCTATTTCTGCAGGAAATGTCATTGGAATTTTGATAGGATTGCATTCAATTTGTAGATTGCTTTGGGTAGTATGGACATTTTAACAATATTAATTTTTCTAAGCCATTACAGCTTCACAATAAACTTTTGGAACATATTCATATAAATGAATATGAATGATATGATTTTTGACATTGTCTTTTATAATTCAATATTTAATTACTCTTAATTCAAATTTATTTATTTTAAAATGTCTGTCATCTCCTGAAGGATTACTAATTTGAAATATTGTATAAATACTGCACATTAAAAACTAGTTTATATATAGACATACTTTTATGACATGCGTAAAAAATCAAGTCTTTAGAGAGCTCTGCCATAAACTTTAAAGATATTCATTATGCAGATATTTGAGTTACTAATTAGCAATAGAAGGCTTTTATGTATTCTTTGCTGTCTGGATTCCAGTATTCTCTTTTCATTGCCATGTATTCTAATTAGTAAAGGAAAATAGTATCTGACTTTCTTCAGGTTTGTGTCCTTGGCCACTTACCCACTCAGACATTTGTATTGTTAAGCCCCCAGATATGTGAGTGAGTATAATGTTGGAGAAATGAGAGATGGACAAACAAAATGTTAATTCAACTAAAAAGCCAGACTTAACAAAATTTGTAGCATTTACATTGTTAGAACTAATATGCTGGAGTTTATTATATGTAATATGAAATCTAGTAAATGCTTAAACAGTTTCTAAAGGTATAACAGAGTATGGTATTTGTTTGTAAAATAATTTCTCTGTTTTGTTTTTAAAGTGATACTTTCTTTAAAGAGATTCTTAGGTGACTTTCATTGAAGGTAGGGATTTGCAAATGAGGCCTATTAAACTTAAAACAAATTACCAAAAGTCTTCAGTATAGTTGAATGATTTGATTTAGAAATGTAAACAGCAAAATTTTCAAAATTGTTTAAAAATACTCTTTGAAATGAACTGAATATGAGATCTGCCTATACTATTTTGTTTAGTATTGCTCTATATTGATCTTGGGCTTTTGTATTAGTAGAGCAGGCTTTCTAATTTACAAAAGATGTATCCAAATGTCAGAAAATTTCTACCAATTTTATTTTTTGTAGGTGGTTTCAGACACCCTCACAGGTTTTCTACCATGCAGCAACTGAACATGGAGGAAAAGATGTGTATCCAGGGCAATGTCTTTGGGAAGGTTGTGAGCCTTTTCAGCGACAGAGGTTTTCTTTTATTACCCACTTACAGGTATACTTTCTTCCTAATACTATTTGGTCAGTAACTCCTCTGGTTTATTAAAGATCTTGATGCGTATCCTTTTACTTCCTCTTTCTCAAAAAGGATAAGCACTGTTCAAAAGATGCCCTGCTTGCAGGATTAAAACAAGATGAACCAGGACAAGCAGGAAGTCAAAAATCTTCTACCAAGTAAGGACCATGAGTTTACTTCCTCTTGTACATGCAAAAGGAAAAAGCAGGAGAACTAGGCAAAGCAGAGTAACAATGAAAGACAACCTTATGCATTAGGAGAGCAGAAGCCTAGGTTCTAGGTTGAGCTCTGCTGTGACCCAGCCCTGGGCCCTGTCCCAATTGCTTAAATTCTCTAAACATCACTTTTCATATTGGCTAGACTGCATGCTCTGTTAATAATTTGTAACTGTAATGTTTTGATTCAAATTTGTAGACAAGTCATGAGAAGTAGTGACAGGTGATAGTTGAGAAATGCTTTGTAAACTGGAAATGTATGTATGGTTCTTTGTCCTTTGGGAAAATAGTTGAATATGTATTTGATAATGGCCAAGAGATTTCTTCTCACAACTTCTTCTCTCAGGAAAGACCAGGGTGTCATGTGAAGATTGTATGTAAGAGTATACATATCACACTTACTATATGGTTATTCATTTACCTGTTATTTCATGAACACATACTTGTAATGCATGTGGTCAAGTTCTAGTTGGTTATAGATTCCCGTAAGATCCTTATTAAATTTACATAGTATTTATCTCCTATTCTGTTTCTAACTGAGTCCTTTAGTTATAGATTCTGTAACCTAAATCATATGTTTAACTTTCAAAAATGTGAAGATAAGGGGCATCTGGATGGCTCAGTTGGTTAAGTACCCGACTCTTGATTTCAGCTCAGGTCATGATTTTGCAGTTCGTGAGATTGAGCCCCACTTCAGGCTCTGCGCTGACAGTGCGGAGCCTGCTTGGGATTCTCTCTCCCTCTCTCTCTGCCCTTCCCCTGCTCTCTCTCACTGGCCCTCTCTCTCTCTCTCAAAAAATTAACTAATTAAAAAAAAAAGTAGAAGTGCCAGAAATAGACCCATACTACAGATGTGAATGAAACCTGAAGCACAGAGGGGCAAACTGAAATTTTCAAAGTCACACATGTAGTTACAGGGTCAGAAATAGACAGGGTTTCCTCATGTGAGAGTCCATTGTTCTTTCCACCATTGCCTCACAAGAATGTAACAGATAGTGATGCAATTTTTCTGCTTGGCCAAGGAAATCTAGCATTATTTGAATCTTTTATATAAAACCTATCTCTGCAGTCCCTCCATTCTCTATCTTTCATAAAGGACAGTAGAAATAAATCGAAAGGATTGATTGAAATAATCAGATAATGATGAAACAAAGTACTAGTGTGAAAACGTGGTGTTTAGCGTAATTCCTTACTACCATAAGGTTCTCTTTTCCTGGATGACCTATACCTGTACCAACACATTCTTAGGTGATATCATTGTACTCTTAGGTACTGTTTAGCAAAAATAACTTGCAACTCAAATTGTAGACTATTTTCTTTTCTGTTAAAATCTTCAAATTACATTCAAAATCTGAACTCCATAGCTCTGATACTGTGTTGTATTGATTTTGATTGCTTGTTTACCAGCACAGTAACTTTAAAGATGGACTACACTAGAATATCTGTTGTTAGCTTTAAAATTGATAGATTGGAAAATAAAAGACTGGAAACCTCACCCTGATACTAAAAGCCCCTTTGCCTCAGCTGACACAAAGTAAACAAAGTTAACGCTGGGCCTTTGGAGCGTGTGTTTATCTGGTATCTGGTTTCAAAGTAACCACCTGAGGGGGTTGGCAGGTTGGTCATCCTTGTCAGTCTGTCTGCAGCATCATGTTAACAATCTCTGTCTCTCTCCTCAATGTAGGCAGCCTGCTGTAGGGGGCACAAGCTCAACTCCTAGAGCACAAAAGGCCATTGTGAATCATCCCAGTGCTGCCCTTATGGCCCTTAGGAGAGGATCAAGAAACCTTGTCTTTCGAGATTTTACAGTAAGCAAACCTTGAAAGCCTTATCTGTAAAGGTGTGAGCACTGTATGATTTAGATCTTTATTCTTTTCTTTTCCTTTCTTTTTAAGGATGAAAAAGAGGGACCAATAACTAAACACATCCGACTAACAGCTGCCTTAATATTAAAAAATATTGGTAAATATTCAGAATGTGGTCGCAGGTGAGTAATCTGTTTTCTACAGCCAAAGTGAATTTAGATTATTTTACTTCTACGTGTGAGTTAATAAAACTAGATAACTGTGTTTTATTCGCTGTTTTTCTCATCAATTTTGTGAATATGTCCAAAAGCTTATGCCAACATCAGACCAACATGATTTCGAAAGCCAAAAATGTAGGCGCATCTGGGTGGCTCAGTTAGTCGAGCATCCAACCCTTGATTTCAGCTTGGGTCATGATCTTGGGGTTTGTGGGTTCAAGCCCCACATCTGGCTCTGCACTGGCAGTATGGAGTCTACTTGGGATTCTCTGTCTCTCCCTCTCTCTGCCCCTCCCCCACTCACGCTATCTCTCTCTCTCTCTCTCAAAATAAATAAATAAACTTTAAAAATAGATACATAAAAGCCAAAAAAGTAGACATTGAAACAACCAGAAGGTGTTCTTTTAATTTGTTTTATTAAGTTAATCTTTCTGGCCATAGAATTTAGAGCAAAACGTAGATTTACTAAAGGGAAACCTTAGGAGTTTATTTGGGGGGTGAGGGGAGTCACTTGGAAAGTGAATGGGTGTCATTTGAATCCAGTGGAATTAGAATGGAATTTAGTTCGGTAATTGACATTTTAATGAAGCCATCAAAGTTTAAAACTTACTTTCTTATGAACTTAAGCAAGAGGAAACTCAGGATTTTATAGATCTTTAGAAACTAGAATCAATAATTCTAAGAGAGCAAATGTGGAATGTTCTGTTGATGACTTTTGGACTTTGTCTCCCTTGAAGCTTGTCTGTAATTTTCTAGAATTCCTTCTGTGTTTTCAACTGACTCAGGCTCTTTTCTTGAGAAGTTGTCCTCTGAGGCATCCTGACTTCTAGTTAGGGACTTTTTCTCTGAGTTTCTCTCCTCTTAAATACTATTAGTCCTATCTCCTAAATATATCCTGAATCTACCTTAGTTCTCCCCACTCCCTGCATTTTGACCTTGCTTTGGTCCTTTTATATTTCTTGCAGTAACCATCCAACTGGATTTTCCCAACATAAAAACAGTGGTATCAATTACAAAAGAAAGGGGCGCCTGGGTGGCGCAGTCGGTTAAGCGTCCGACTTCAGCCAGGTCACGATCTCGCGGTCCGGGAGTTCGAGCCCTGTGTCAGGCTCTGGGCTGATGGCTCAGAGCCTGGAGCCTGTTTCCGATTCTGTGTCTCCCTCTCTCTCTGCCCCTCCCCCGTTCATGCTCTGTCTCTCTCTGTCCCAAAAAATAAATAAACGTTGAAAAAAAAAATTACAAAAGAAAAAGCAATGAATTTGAGTATATCAAACTTCAGTAAATTAAAGATGAAAGCACTTAAAACTAAAGTTTGAAAAACAGTATTTGCAATGCCAGTTACTATGTTTTAGTGTATACAGTGTTCTCACAGATGAATGAGAAGAATTCTTAACATTCAAAAAGAAAAATAAGCAGTTTTTCACAAAAAAAGAAATATGAAGGGTAGTAACCATAAAGAACACCAGAATCTTCTTCATTTGTGACATGGTTTCTTCTCCTTTTCTTACTGTATTTCCCTCTCCCTCTGTAGTCCATAGCCTGTATTTCAGTTCCAGCCTAACTAAGCCATGTGCAGATTCCTAATCGTGCTAGACGCTTTCACGTTGCACTTTGGTACCTTTTGTTCCAATACTTACCCTGTGGTGGTCTGTTGGTTGTCTGGAAACCCTTCATGATTCAGTTCAGGTAGCAGGTAGCAGCTTTTGTGTGCTGCCTCCTGTGCCATGTTCCCCTGCCCCATAGCGTTTGTTCTTCTCTGTTCTTTTAACCTGTCTGTCTCGTAATATTTAATCTTGTAAATATTTGTAAATATTTGTATTTGTATTTACAAAAACTTGTAAATAGTTTTTGTATGGCTTTTTTCACCTACTGACCTATGTGTAGACATTCTCTGATTAATCTTTGTAGCCTGAACACCTGGCACAGTACTTAACATGTGTAGATAATTTCTAATTTCTATTCGTCCTTAAGATTCAACTCAGGGGTTACCTCTTCCCTTCCTGACATCTTCCTCACTAGCCCACCTCTGACATCCCTCACGTCCACCTCACACATTGTGTTTTACCACCCTAGATGGTGAGATCTTTGAAAGCAGGGATTGAATATTGATTTTTCATTTCTGTGTCCTCCGTGCCTACCGTAGTGTTTGGAATGTAATAGCAATTCGATAAGTATTTGATTGATAGACACATGGAAGGAAAGAAGTTTCACAAATTCATTCTTTTCTGGAGTTCTAGAGATCTAGAATTTGTGTAGATAATTCGAATTCTTAAAAGTAAATTATATGGGGTGCCTGGGTGGTCCAGTCGGTTAAGCATTGACTCTTGATTTCAGCTCAGGTCATGATCTCACGGTTCATGGGTTTGAGCCCCATGTCAGGCTCTGCACCGACAACACGGAGTCTCCTTGGGATTCTCTCTCCCTCCCTCCCTCCCTCTTTCTCTCTTTCCCTTCCTCCCTCTCTCTCTTTCTCTCTCTGCCTCGCTCCCTCTCTCTCTCTCTCCCTCTCTTTCTCTCTCTGCCCCTTCCCTGCTCTCTTCAAATAAATAAACTTCAAAATAAATAAAAGTAAATTTAACAACTTAGCATTTTACCTCATTCAAATTGCACATTCTTAGGCTTATAGCAGAGCCACTTTGGCTAGATCTAATATAATTACTGAGCCAAAGTTTTCATTTTGCTGTTTTTGTTTTGTTGTTGATAGTGTCATTTTCTATGTAACTCTGAACTTTCCAACATCTTCTGACATCTTCAGTTACTATGATCTTAGAATAGCAGAACCAAAAGAATTAAAACAATCCATTAAATTCTTACCGTTCACCCTCCCAGTCCAGGTTGAACTGCAGAACCTCACTCAGACATCTCCAGATGTAGATTTTGGCTTAGCAAGAATACTTACAGAATCTGGCAACCTATATATGTGAAAAAGAGAGTATAGGAAATCAGCTGCAAAAGATTATTCTCTGTTGAGATTTCCCATCTTTGGTGGAATAAGTAACAGGGTATGACTCTTTTTTAGACTAAAACCAACTCTGCAATAAGAAAATTGCAGGTTGATAGGAAGATATGTGGAAATATACCTGCAGTCTTGTACAGTATACTGAACAGTATGAAATGTCAACGTTTTTATTTTTTTTTTTAATTTTTTTTTTCAACGTTTATTTATTTTTGGGACAGAGAGAGACAGAGCATGAGCGGGGGAGGGGCAGAGAGAGAGGGAGACACAGAATCGGAAACAGGCTCCAGGCTCTGAGCCATCAGCCCAGAGCCCGACGCGGGGCTCGAACTCCCGGACCGCGAGATCATGACCTGGCTGAAGTCGGATGCTTAACCGACTGCGCCACCCAGGCGCCCCAATGTCAACGTTTTTAAATTTGAAGTGCAGAATCTAGTTGTTGGAATAATGTAAAATGTTTAAATGCAGTTTATCTCCATTCTGATTAATTTTGACCTCTGGAGTATTGCAGTATATATCTCTTCCTTTTGATTCATATACCTTTATCAATAGAATATGTGGGTCTTATTTAATAATCAAATGGTACTTTTCTATATGCTAATAATGAAGTGAAAAAAGAGAATTAATTCCATTTACAATATATCAGTCAAATAAAATACTTAGGAATCATGTTAGCCAAGGAGGTGGAAGACTTGTGCACTGAAAACTAGAAAACATTGCTGAAAGAAATTAAAGCAGACATAAATAGAAAGATATTCTGTGTTCATGGATTGGAAGACTTAATATAGTTAAGATGTCCGTACTACCCACAGCGATGGGTAGTTCAGTAAAATCCCTATCAAAATCCCAATGATATTTTTTTACAGAAATAGGAAAATCCATTCTAACCTTCATAGGTGATCTCATGGAACCCTGAATAGTCACAGCTATCTTGAAACAGAACAAAGTTGGAGGACCCACAGTGTCTGATTTCAGAATTTACAACAAGGCTACAGTAATCCAAACAATGTATTACTGGCATAAAGAGAGACATAATAATCAATCAGTGGAAGAATAGAGCCCAGACATAAGTCCTGGCATATATGGTCAAATGATTTGCATTAGGGTGCCAGTTCTCCATTCAAGGAGAAAAAGACAGATGGAGCTGGGAAAACTGGATATTCGCATGCAAAAGAACAAAGTTGAACCCTTACCTGACACCACATATAGAAATTAACTCAAAATGGATCAAAGATCTAGAAATAAGAGCTAAAACTGTAAAACTCTTAAAACATCTGAAGAAACTTCATGACATTGGATTTGGCAGTAATTTGTTGGATATGACACCAGGGATGTAGGCAACAAAATGAAAAATAAATTGAACTTTATCAAAATTAGAAACTTATGCACCAGTGGACATTATTAACAGAATAACAGAATGGCAGAAAATAATTGCAAATTACATATATGATAAAACAGTTAAAATCTAGAATATATAAGAAACTCCTAAAACTCCACAACATAAAGCAATCTGATTTTAAAAATGGGCAGGGGCACCTGGGTGGCTCAGTCAGTTAAGCATCCAACTGTTGATTTCAGCTCAGGTCATAATCTCAGGGTTTGTTAGTTCAAGTCCCACATAGAATCCCTACTTGGGATTCTCTTTCTCTCCCCCCCCACCCTTCCCCCACTCATGTGCACCCTCTCTCCCTCCCTCTCTCTCTGAAAATAAACTTAGCGAAAAAAAAATACAATAAAATAACAAAATAAAAATGGTCAAAGGACTTGAATAGACATTTCACCAGAGAAGATAAACAAATGGCCAGTAAGCACATGGAAAGATGCTCAACATTATTGATTGTTAGAAAAGCACAATCATAACCACAGTGAGAGCCACTTCACAGTTATTAGGATGGTTATTATTTAGGGGCTCAGTAGGTTGAGTGTCTGACTCTTGATTTCGGCTCAGGTCATGATCATGGGATCAAGCCCCGTGTTGGGCTCCATACTAAGTACGGAGCCTGCTTAA